TGCCTTTACAGCAGATCTGAGTGTTGGAGTAAAATCCCAAATAATATTGGTGGGTCTGGTGTCAAAATGTTGAATGTGATCAAAGTAGAGAGAGAGAGTAATGTGGAAATCATTGCCCCACAGTTAGGGGGAGGGTGTGGGATGGGGGTATACTGGGGTTTTTGGTGGTGGAGAATGGGCATGAATGAAGGTATGGGTGTTTCATTGTATGACTGAGACTTAAACCCGAAAGCTTTGTAACTGCTCTCACGGTGATTCAATAAATAAAATTATAAAAAATGGAAAAAAAAATGTAAGGTGGAGTTCATGCCCAATTCAATCAGTTAATCAGTGGCTGAATAAATAGCAGTACTCCTACATAAATAAATAAATAAACATTCTAAGTTATAAAAAAAGTGAACTATGCAAAAGTCATAAGGAAAGGAGAAAGGCAATATTTCACTCATGAATACAAGTCAGTTGTCCTTAGAAGGATTTAACCTTACAAGTTAACAGAATCTGATTTGGGGGAAAGGTGATTAACTGGTTGTGGAGGAGAGCACAGAGAGGAGGGTACAGATAGAGAAGAATGGGAGTGACTCAGGAGCACCGTGATGGAGTAACCTGATAAACCAAGCTCCCTGTGGCAAGGGAGAAAAGACAAACCAATGTTATCCTACAGACTTGGTTCTCAAATGCAGCTAAGACAATAATCTTCTCCTGTAATTTTTTCCAAGTGGTAACCTTTAAGATAGAAACATCTTAATGTCAATAAACTTTTGAAAGACATATAGAATAGACATTAAAAATTCCATTTTCTTCACAAGGCTGGGTTCACCACATACATACATACACAGGGTGATGTTACTGTTTATATTGGCACCATGAGAACCTTCACTTGGATTTGCACACCTGAATCAAGAGGTATTAGTCCCTAAAAGGAAGTAATTTTTAAGGGAATCAGAGTTGTTTCCAGAACAAAACTGCATAGGAACTAACTTATTAAGAGTCCTGGGATCAATTTTGAACTATTGAGCAAGAGAATACTCCTTCCAATGGAGATGTTGAATGTGTTTTGAATTCAGTGCAAGGAGGATGCCTTGCATCACCTCCCAGGAGATACCTGCGAAAGGCAACTGAAGTGGTCAAAGAAGATGAACACAGAGACCAAGGTAGCCACATGATAGAGTGCATATTTTGCATGTATAAGGGCCTGATTTGATCTCCAGCTCTGAAAAAGGGTGGAAGGGGGGAAGGAGGAAGCAGGGACCAGAGACTAATACATAGATAAGGCATTTGCCTTGCATTTGTTTGACCCGAGTTCCATTCCTGGCATACCATATGGTCCCCTGAGCACTTCCAGGAGTAATGCCTGAGTGTATAGACAGGGGTAATCCATGAGCATTGCCAGAGGTGCCCCCTTGCACTCTCCAAAAGAGGAAGCAAATGGTTGCTATAAATATGGACTTTATACAGGATACATGTTCTGTTGAACATTGAACTGGGATGCTTGTTATCTTGCCTGCAGAGAAGCGGCTCCATTCCACAACTAATCTCAAGGAGATCATGAAGCCACAGAACCTTCCCAGGTAGATTGGTCCAGGCTAAGAACTCTGAAGCCTTCTCATAATGGGGGCAGGCGGATTCTGCTTTCTGTCTGCAGGTACAGCAGCCCACAGCCACCACCCAATCCCACAGACAAGTGGCCCAATTCCACAACTAAACCTCATCAAGCTCCCAAGCCACCAAATCATTCCCACTCCATAGATCCTCAACCTCAGCTGCACACACAGTTGCACAACACCTCCACATTTCATAGTACTGTCGGCTCAGCGCTACAGATCTGATGGGAAAGTTGCATAAAGGCCATCAAGCTCGATGAGTGAAAAGAGAAACACAGAAGCCTCAACTAGCAGCAACCAGTTCAGTAAATCCTCAGTGACTTCAATAACATCATAGTGAGATTTAACAATTGTCACCAACTTACTTGCAGTGATCTAATTGTTGATAATTCTATCCGCCTTCGTGGTGTGACAAACAACATGAAGTCCATTTATTCGTGCCTGCTAAAGGGGCAGGCTGGGATAGCAAGTGGGAATCTACAAACACTGATGGAGCGAAGGGCAGACTGGTGGTGGAAGTGGTGTGGAATATTCGACACCTGAAGTAACTGTGTTATGGGCAAGTTGGCAAATCACAGTGTTATAACAACATTTTTTTTTAAATGCTTACCCAGCTCCCACTTATCTATTGCCTGGCCAAGAATAATGTTGTATCTCTTGATGCTTATTTTGGGAGGAAGCAAAAGATAGTACGATGATGCAAAATGTAGTTGCCTGTCTCAGATTCCCTTTCTTCTTTTGTTGCTTAAAGAAGGTTTGCATGAAATGGGAATAAAACCAAGCTTAAAAAGTATCCAAGCTTAAGCAGACTTCACATTATTCCAGCCCCTGGATCTTGTTTTGTTGAAAGCCTGTTACATACTTCTGAACTTTCAGTCATTAAAACCTCCCCTTTTAAATTTAACTTAGGTCAATATGAGTTGAAAACTTGCCATTTGCAGCTAGAAATTTGTCACTACACCTAAAAAAATCCCCTTGGTGGTTCCCAAGTATTAAGTGCAACTATGCACGGAAATGGAAGAGCTGAGATGGTCAGTGAAGACAAGAACAGTGGCCGTAGACAGCAGGGCTCGCAGGCCTTCCCCAGCACCGTCCTCTGCTGATCTTTGTCTTTCCTGGGGGCCCCATTCTACCAACTGACCCCCTGCTCTTGTGTCGTGGCCCCCTGTAACAGTATTTCACCTGTGTTCTTAGCAGGTGGGGCTCTATGTTGACCAATGCTGATACAAAGCAGAGACCACAGGGCAAAACGTGGAGGAGCCTGTGCAGCTGGACCTCAGGGTTATCCTTTGTCCTCACAACTTCAAATCTTTCATGCTCCTCTTTCTCTTCCAGTGTCTAAGAAACTGAACTGTGACCAACTCCAAAAACACGTGTTAAAGTTCTGAGTCCCCAAATAGTCAGAATGTGATCTAATTGAAAAATGAAGTTGCTGTAAACTTAAGCTAAGATAAGGACACTAACATCAGCGAGTCTTTCTCAGAAGAGGGTGTCTAAAGGAAGGCAAGTGACTGAGAATGGAGAGAAGCCACTGCAAGCCAAGGACTCAGTGGCTTCTGACAGTGAAGAAGCACGGGGTCCAGGGCCGCTGCTAGGGAGACACAGAAATGCTCCCCAAGGTGAGCATGGACCTGCTGAGAAGTTGATTTTGGACATCTAATCTCCAGAACTGAGACAAGAAAGAATAAAGATCTTATTTGGAAAAAGTTTTGTGTTGACATATTTAAAGTCACAACAATATATGCCATTGTTTAACTTACTCAAAGGCAATCCATATTTCTTAAGCTCTGCCATTTCTGCAAAAATGTGACTACTTACATATTTGTTTACCACTAAAGCAGAGAGTTGTTAGTTTCTGCCAAGAATTTGAGTGAAGAAATATCAACACAGAGGAAACAACAGCATTATTCCTCCTAAAAACAAACAAACAAACAAACAAACAAACAAAAAACCCAGTTATTCTGAAGGGCACAAAAGAAAAGATTAGTTGCCTTTCTTTGTTCTTGTCTTTTAACAGTAAAAATCAAGGTCTTCATGACCCAAAATGTGCTAGAAGATTTTTAAGGAAAAGCCGAAATATCTATTTTTTCCAGTTGTTGATTTATTGGATGTCTTTCTTCTTTTTATTTATCTTTGCCATTGGGTGAACAGAAAGAGTAGGCTATCAAAACTTATTATATGCATCCACTTGATTGAGGCAGACGCAGTAACTTGTATAAAAAATTGGTGATGTTGGACTCTATTTGGGGAAGATATTCTTCAAATCTTTCCTATTGCACAAGAATTGTGACAACAGTTCTCACATTTGTGTCCCTTTCTGCTCTCCCGTGCGTTATCTTATTAGAACCCCACAAACCTTGAGATCTCCACCTGGTTTTCCCATTGACATCCGCGGAGGGAAAGGTCATTCTCTGAGAGTCATAGTCTTCCCGGTCCCAGGCCAATTCGTGAGGGGAAGCCTGGACCACTACCCTTCGACCTCAGATGTGGAAGAATGAAGTGGATGAAAACAAAATACGGCTAGAAAAAAAAAAAAAAACGGTTTAAAAGGCCCTCCCCCTGCTCCCGCCAGGAATGCTTAAGCTAGGGTCCGCTTTCTTTGAGTCTTTGAGACGCGCAACAAGTCCCAGGAAACAAACGATGAGTACTACCACTGGGTTCTGTTTAAAAGCCCCCAGGTAAGGACGCGAAGCTCCCAGCGCTCTTCAAATCTTAACAGCTAATCACTCATCCACCCACTCCCTTCTTTCAGTCGAGAAGCCTCGGTGAGTCAACACAAGTGCACCCGGAGCTCAGGCGTTTCTGGGGAGAGTGGAGGGCTCGACCAGAGGAGGAGCGGAGTCGGGCATGCCACCGGGCGTTGCTTTTCTCACTTAGCCCCGGTTCGGTTCCCTTGGCCTGGAAAGCCCGGCTTCGGGCTCGAGGTCCCGGGACACCCGGAGAAACCGTGCGCTGCAGCGGCTCCGTGGCGGGGACGGGCTGCAGAGAGTCGCCAGGTACCGAGAGGGAACTTGCGTCCCGGAGGGCGACTCCGTGCAGGAGTTCGCGCCCGAGCCCCGGGTCTTTGTTCCCGTGCCCCTCGTCGCCGGGTCTCCGGGGCCCGTAGGCGAGGAAGCCCCACCTCGGCGCAGCATCCCCCGGAGCGGGACTCCAGGGCCGCAGCCCGGGCCGAGGGGGGTTGCGCTCTGCCAGGCCTGGGCGGAAGAAAGGGGCGCGAGCGGGCGGGGGGCGCCGACGGAGCGGGCGTGGCCAGCGCGGGGCGCGGGGGCGCCGGGCCCCGAGGGCCCGCGTGACATCACCCGGGGCCCCCTTCCCGCGCCGGGTGGGTGGGGCCTGGCGGGCCGCGGGCTCGGGGTCACGGAGGGGGAAGAGGAGGAGCGGGCGTGGATGTGTCTGCGCCAGCCCCTGGTCCCCCGCGCCGCCTCCTCGCCGCTGGGAGCCGCGCCCGGCGCGGGCAGCGGGCGGCCGGGGAAGCGCGGGCCGTGGGCGCCGCGGGCCGAGCGAGCAGCCTCCAAAGTAAGGCGGGCGGAGCGGCAAGTTTTCCAACTCGGCGGGAGCCCGTGCGCCAACTTGGGCGCGGGACGGCGGGGCCGGGGTCGGGGGCGGGCGGGACGGCGGGGCCGGGGGCGGTCGGGACGGCGGGGCCGGGGCTCGGGCGGGACGGCGCACGGGCTGGACGGGACGCGAGCGGGACGGCGGGGCCGGGGCTCGGGGCGCTGGGCGCGGGGCGCGGGCGGGCCGGCGGGGCCGGGGCGCGGGCCGGGGCGCGGAGGGGCGCGGAGGGGCGCGGAGGGGCGCGGGCCGGGCCGAGCCGGCGGGCTTTCTCCCCCGCCCCGCCCTCCCGCGGGGGGCCGAGTCCAAACTGTCACTCAGGGGGTGAGTCAGCGCGGATCGGGTTACACGGGCCCCGGGGTGCCGGCGCCCCCGGCCCGGGAACCCTGCGGGGAGCCCACGGGAGCCAGGCCGCCCGCTGCACGCGGGTCTTGGGCGCTCGGGACCCGCCGCCGCCGCCGCCGCCGCAGGTACGTCCCGCCCGAAGTTCTTTGTTCCGCGGCGCCCACCCGCCCCGCGCTGGGCCCGGGCCTCCCGGCGCACGGGGGGTTCCCAGCCCGACCCCGCGGAGCCCGGGAAGGCCTGGGCAGCCAAGCTCGTCCCGCGTCCTCTCCGCAGGGCTGCCCGGAGACGCCGCGGCCAGCGTGCCCAGACGCGGAAAGTGAAAGTTGGTCCAGCTGTGTGTGAGCTGCGACTCTTTAATTTCCTTTCCAGGAGGACGCGCGCGCGCACTTAGAAACACACATTGTACACGCACGCACACACAGACACACGTATACACAGACACGCACACGCGCGCGCACACACAGACACGCACACACACGCACACACAGCGTACACACAGACACACGTTCATGCACACACAGACACGCACACGCGCGCACACAAACACGCACACACAGACACGCGCGCACACACACGCGCACACACACACATACACGCGCGCGTGCACACACACGCGCGCGCGAGCGCGCGCTCGGCGGGGGGTCGGAGAGATGCAGCCTGCGGGGCTGCGGGACTGCGGGGCGCCGGCACCAACTGCCGCTCTCCCGCGCGGCGGAGTCAGTCTTGACACCAACTTGTGGAGTTTGTGCAGACTTGGAAGCGCCTGCTCTGCGCCCGGCCCTGTCCTGCCCGCGCTCGCGCCGCGGCCCGCTGTCCCTCGCGGGAGACGCCGACTGGCCCGAGTGGACGGGGGTTAGGGGGTGGCCCCTTCGCCGCCCCGCCTGCCCCCCAACTTCTCATCACCCTGGGGCGCAGCTCCGGGGAGGTTTTGGCCTTGAGTACGGTGCCCGTGGCCTTCTGCCAGTTTCTATGTACATATATTTATGTAAAACATTTTCTCCCAGCTCTCTGCCAGCTGTTCCACATTTTCCAGCTGCCATTTCAGTTCGCAGTGATGGACTGTCCGCGTCTCCGAGCCGGAGGGCAGCCGCGCCGGCCGGCCCGTACACGCGGGCTTTCCTGCGGCCGCTGCTTCCTCAGCCCCCTGCTCCTCCCCAATCAGGCCTGGCACCGCGCTTTGCTGGGAATCCACAGTAATTAGATTCTGCCCCTCCGTGAGATTTTTTTCTTTGGGTACAGATTTTAGAGGAGGCCTTTTTTTTTTTTTTTTTTTTTTTTTTTTTTTAGTGAGATGCCTGAAATATGTGTCTGGTGGAAATAAATTAACTTTAAAAAAAAGAGTTCCAGTTTGAGTGCGTTGGCCTGGCTGGTGGGGGGCCTCTGGCCCACTGAACCGATCTCATTTAAACCAGCTTCAGCGGGAGCTCTTCACAGGCTCGCCCATCCCCTCCCCACCCCGCTTAGCACCACCACCACCGTGCTGCCTGATGTCTGCGCCTAGGACTGGCCAAAATCTTCACGAATTGGCCAGAAGTATTAATTTTGAGTATTTATGTAATTGCTCTGTAATTTGAATAGGTGCCTTATTGATTGATTTCTGTAATTATTTCATTTAGGTTTTAAATTAAAAATTAATAATAGTCTGACAGTTTCTTAATTACATGTGTCAAGATTATTTTGAAGGAGGAAATGCTATGCTTTAAAGTGAAATAGCCTCAAAAATCTCTATTTTTTTTCCAAATGCAGAACAGAATTTCAGTGGTAGAATTCAAAGCAGTGGAGATTGGTTTTAACAATGTAAACTGTGTGAAGTAGCTAAAGAATTTGTTTATGTTAGGAAATACTGGTTTTAACAACCTAGCATACAAACACTTTAGGCAGAGTTAGACTATAGGCAAGTCTGAAATAACATCTGAATCAGTTGTAATCTCATACTTTCAGAGGGAAGAGAGTTTATTTTATACTAAAAGCTAATTAGAAATTTCTCACCTAGGGGGTGATCCTTTCAGGGTATATAATTCTTAAAGTCAGCCTTGGGAAGCTTTGACACAAGGTGTCTGAATGAGTCTAGTGTGAGATTTCACACAAACACACATACACAGAAACACTTTCAAAGTTATAGTTTGTATTATTATTAATAGGCTAGTAGGCATAATTCTGATATCACCAATCTAGTGTCCCTCTAATGTATTTGTTTTTTCTTGAGTGAAGTCTGATAGAAACACATTTTTATTGTTTGTCTAACTTGTGAAGGTCCTCAAACAGAAATAGAAAAAAAATCAGTATTAATGAAAAATGAGTCTGTTGAGCTATTTCATTACTTATTTATTGAAAGCATCATTAATTTATCAATTTGATGACCAAGCCTAAAAGTTGCATCTCCCATTTTCGCTGGGACAGTTTTCTTTGTCACCTGTGTGCTGGAAGGATTTCAGAGTTCTCATGTGCTTAACTGGAAAGAGATCCTTCCATATTCTAGAATCCTCCTCCCTCTTCTTGAGGATAAGGTTGGGGAGTTTCTGAAGGAAGCAATTTAGTGATCATTGTTACATGTACTCACTTCTATGGAGACAGAAATGTGCTAAGAAAAGGCAGTCTTGAAGGAAAAGTGAATCAATGAGTCATGAAATCCTCAAGAAAACCTTAGTAATGGAATGTTAATGCTTTTAGACTATAGAAGATTATCTTAAAAGTCAGACTTTTCTTCTTCATGCAATTGTTGTAAATCCCCAGCTAAAGATTTCTTTGAAGGGGGTTTTAGTTTTTCTGGCATTCATATTCTAGAGTTGGTCTGATTTGTTTTGGAAGATTCAAGAAATTTTCTGCCAATTTATATCATGAAAGGCAATTAAAAGGCTGAGTTGGCTATAGAAAAGTGCAGTGTGTGTGTGTGTGTGTGTGTGTGTGTGTGTGTGTGTGTGGTTTTAAGTTTGTTAACAAAAAAATTCATGGTCACTTCATGTTGTCTTTTCATTAAACATTAGTAGAAAATACAGCCTTTCACTTAATGTTGTTTTTCTAGGGGAAAATAGATTCATTTTATTCCAAAGCAAATAAAGGGAGACAATAAACAACAGCAGGAAAGGTAGGAGCTGCAAACTTTTTCAAGTACTTTCAGTGTATTTTTCATCTTTTACTTTTATTTGATGGGCCTGTGAAATAGAGCTGTAGACTGGGGAAGACTTTAAATGAAATTTCACACTTTGATGATTTTTTTAAAACTTTGATATATTGACAGCAAAAAGAGCTGCAAAGCTTTCATAGAACTTGAGCAGCAACGCAGGCAGCAGTCAAGTGTCTCTATGCATTTGTGTTTAACTGCAGAAGAAAAACATGTCCATGGGCAGGAAAGGTTCTTATCAACCCCCTAATCCCAGATCCCAGCAAACCTTGAGGGCATGCCTCAGATCTTCCTGAAATCACTGTAGACTCTCACAGTTTGCAGATTAAATATGCTATGTGTTCCTGGCTCCAGCAACAGTTTTATGAGCTCACTAAGCTTCCTGTTCTAAGATCCTTTTCTTAAAATTTTAGGAGCTGCTAAGGGCAATGCTGTCTGGCCTAAGTGATGTTTGCTAATTTAGATATACTTCAGATATTTCATCCTCTTTAAATAGTGCCAAAATTATTATTTTCAAGTTAGAGGGCTATCTTTGCTCTGTAATGAGGGAGGTGAGTAATTTAGAAGAAAGTGAATGGATTTTAAAAGTGTAAGTGCAATTGATTGCAAACTATGTGGTGTTTCAGTTGTCTTACGACACAATGTGGGTCCCTGAAAATTAGCCTTTTTTGCCCTAAAAATTTGACCGTTTTCAATGTTAAATTTTTTTTTATTGCGAGAATTTTTTTTCAGTTCTTTTGTGTCTATATTTCAACCTGACAAAATGTTCCAGAAAAACCTATAACTTTCTAAAGAAACTGAATGAACAAGCCATTACGTAGTTAATAAGGTGGTGCTGGAACCTTTTGCGGGGTGTGTATAGTGGTGGTGGTGGGGGGGAGGTGGTCCTGAAAGGCAATATTGTGTTGAGTTCCACATCTGCATCTGTAGTTTATATGGCTGAGTCCTCATATACAGTGCTTTTCCATTTTGCATAAGTCATAATTAAAAAAGAAAATACTTACATCATCCCCCAATAACATGTCATATAATTCCCAGGAGAATTTGAGCCAATTTTGTGCTTAAAGGTTATTCAATGAATGAAATTGTGAAAGCCCATTTGTCAAAGTACTGCATGGTTTCTGTTAGTTTTCAAGCCCCAAATTCATTGTCTGCCCAGCCCAGCCATTAGTCATCAGTGTATTAGTGCTGCCTTCAGGCCATGCTGCCCGCACTTCTTCACACCATTACAGCTTTGAAAGTGTGCTCTGTCGACTTGTAGAATTACTGCTCTGATTTCCGCTTGGCTGGGCTGGAGGTGAGTTCCCTCCCCACCTTCTAGCTGACTGTAATCCTTGCTTTCTTTTAAAGCTCCTTTCCAGAGATTTAGGGCAAACTTTCTTACGGCCCTGTTGGCATCATACTGGTTTTGTTGTGGCATGCACTGTCCATATAATTTGTACCTGCAGTAAATTGGATTGCTTGCTGGTCTGAAACAGTGGGACTCTGTGTGTGTGTG